CTATAATATTGTTGACCTTTTTCTGAGCTCAACATATGGTATGTGGCTTGAAATTAGGCAACCTCATGGGTGTTCTGCGATTTTTATGTTTGGCCGAACCTGTCTCTCTTTTTTCGGCCTCGCACCACGTTTTTCAACTCACAAGAATGATTGGAGTTTCGTCTCCATATCGTATCCGTACACTCAATTTTTGTCACCGAAAATTATCTTATCCAAAAATGTAGGTTCATTGTTAGAACGTTCAAGAAGCTAAAGGGAAATTGACATTCGATTAGATTTTTGTTCAACGGACAGCAATCACGGGACAAGTTTACCTGAAGCTCGATGCATGTCTAAACATTCTATCAAAATTGTATGTAAAGAGCCTTCAGAAATATCGCACTCTTCAGCAAGCTCGGTACAACCATTTTCGAGCACTTTTGCCCGCACTTCCACGTGGCAAATTTCAGTTACCATTGATAGTCAATTCCTGTGCTCCTCATCTTTGACAGACTCCTGATAAGTTTTGAATCGTTTAAACCATTCAAAACAGTGAGAACAATTTATACAATTATCTTGGTAAACTTTACTTAGAATACCAAATGTTTCGGTACAAAGTATACAGAGTTTAAAACAAAATTGAATGGTAAATCTTTGCTCCATCAGTGATCACATGATGAAAATCGCAGAACGCACCTGACTTAATCGTATTCAAGGTGACACAGAATGAACATTGATGAAGATAAACAAAATCTGTGAATCTTGCGCTCTTCAATATGTTATCAGCTATCAGAAAAGTCCAAGAAAACCTAATTCGGGCCTTTTGTGGGCTAGTTATCACCAAAAGCCGGTTTCTTATGGAACAGACCTCGTACAATAATTGTTTCAGCATTTAAGATTTATATTTGACCTTTGTTGCTAAAATTACACCAACAAAGAATTAAATGTTCGCTATTTTTGTTCCATGTTTGAGTAGCCTCAGCGACAATGTGAAGAATTATACCCCACAATATTGTTCCAACTCTTTTTTTCTTTCACGTCATACCTTAAAACTGCATAACCATGCAAAGCTCATGACAGGTAAAGTGCTTGACCAAAACTCAAAATTAGCCAATTATAATGACTCTCATAACAGGCAAAGTGTTGAATTAAAATTTGCTGTTCTCTTGTTGTAGTGCATTGCCAAGTAACAACATCCCTCTCATGAGGATTATTCAGTCAATTAAGCATACAAAAAGACGAGGCTCTAAAGTAATCAAGGAAGGATGGATGGTTCACTTTACAAGCAAAGCACCTCAAGTAAGTGTACTTTTTTGTAATCAGTGCATGGAGAAGACTATTTTTAAGCACCAAAAGTTTTACTTTGGACCAGAAGAAGATAGGAGTCGCACAATCGGTTAGTGGTGACAATCGCAAACTCCATTGCTCCGAGCTTATCCCCCAGGAATCTAGAAAGTCCTCAGCCTTCCCATTCTCAAGTGCGGCCCTTTCATTGTGGAAAAATCCTTTTCCCAATATTTTCAAAGTTATGACTCTTTCTTCCTCTTACTCTGTTTTTTTTACAAATTGCCTTGGTTTAGCAAAAAACTTTCAATGTTCATGCAAACCTGATCCAGCTCTTCTGTTATCAAGATCTCTTTTTGCCACCTTCTCATTTTGCAAACCTGCTCTTGTGACCTTCCCATTTTTGCACATGACTGACCAGGTGCTTGATGGAGAAATTTCTGTACCTCCTTGAGTCAAATGGAGAGTTTTTCCTCCATACTCCATACTAAGTTATTAGTTTAACCTTAATAACTGATTTATTGAATTTCCTACGGGCAATATCCGATTTTTGTATTTATCTATTCAGTTTATTTGTCATGTCTGCTTCATGAAGTCAAAAACGTTTGACTCAACTACACCTCTGCATTCTGTACTCTAATGACGCATCCCTTTTACACACCTTGTTGCAATCTCGGAAAATTGGACAGTTTTGCAAAGCAGTTTCCACTTGTTCTGTGCACTTGTTTTCTTCCTATTTAAACTGAAGTAGTTTTGCTGTGAATGCTGAAGCTTCAAGGACAAATTTAGGATCAACTTTTTTTTTAAACTTTATTTAATTTTCTTTTCTTACTGGGATCAAAACGAATTGCAGATGGCCAGGGGAAAAAATTTTGAATTTCTGGCACTTGAAATATCCTATCATTTGATTCATCAGGACAGGAAAGGAAGATAAAGTAACTTCAATATAATGTTGCTCCTGATCTAAATATTTCTCAGACATAATGTTTCCTTGATCTTACAAGCAATCAAGCGCAGGATCTAAACAATTTAGTTCTTGTTTTACAGGGTCACTTTGCCCACTGCCAATAATTGCAAAAATTTAAAGTTTGTACCCTGGACGATTAATACTCGGCACTGAATGGAAGTTTTTTTTTTTTTTTTTTAAACTTTTTACTGTTTTACTCGGATAGATCTTTTTTAGGTTTTATTTCTTAACTAATTTCAAGTCATTTCAATGATCCATTCAAAACCAGCGATTTAGATACTAAAGATAGGGGGATCCTATGCAACGCCAATGGTGAATTTCGCAACACACTAGGAGCAACAGTTAGGTTAGGACGAGGATAGTCGATTCCCATGGCTTTGTATGGGACTGTTGCCAAACAATGACTTATATCAAATTTGCAACCAACTGTTTGAAAATCTGTGTCAAGATATGGAACCTAGCTATTCTTCAAGCGAGTTCACGATTAAAATTTCAACACTAAATCATTTATTGTAAAAACCCCTGTAAGATCCCATGTATTTGAGGTTATGATAAAGACAGCAATTGGCCATTACTACTCCCCGCCCGCCTATCGAATGACCGCTCCATGTATATTACGTATTTAAGTTGGCCACCGACAACGTACAGTTCCTAAATCGTTGCTCCAAACAAGCATTTAAAAATGTTGCCATTGACCCCTTCCTCCTCCAAATGGGGAGCCTACGTATAAAAGTCAGCCATATTTGAATGTTTCACATGCTACTGAATCATCTGTGAAAAGATTGATCTTGCCTGACAGGAAGCAAACCTTTTGAGAGATGTGTAGAGGATACCTTCTTTCTCATTCTGCTTTTCAGAAAGTTTTCAGGTTGGTTTTAAGAGGAGTTTCAAGTGCTTAAGTGTTTTTGTACAATTTTATGCAATCTATGTTGTACGCTTTTCACTCTCTAAAAGCAAGTGTTAATCATTCTTCTTCTCGCTTTGCGTCTATGTGTAATAATGTCCTCAATCTCAGGAGAGGGTTTCAATAGATTAGCTTCGTCAGAATTACTGAATGCAGCAGAGGTACGGTTTGCCTCATTTTGAATATGTACAGTCAGTTTTTTTTTTACTTTTTTATCTGATTTATTTACAATCATTATGGAGGGATTTTTTTATATATTTTGACTGTTAATTTCTCTTGAAACTGGGCCAGTTGGTTGGAGACATTACTAAACAGAGGGACCTCTAGTGAAAATAGAATGAGTCTAAGTAAAAAAAAGTGGTATAATAATGATCCCCTTTCCTTTCAATTACATTAAGTTGATTTGACAGACAGATGTGGAGAGAATTCCAAAAAATCCCATGATATCTTGACATTTTATCGGATCATCCAGATAAAAATGGGCCTCTTGAGTGCAGTGACATTGCCCCCGTGGCAATCTAATGCAATTCCAATCCTCATTCTTTCAGGACCTAGAACGAAGGTACAACAGTAATATGAGAAGTCATCCCTCTAAGCACACTAGCCCTTGGGAGGGGTATGATTAGCTGCAATATTGAACGACCGATATTAGTGGCAGCTTCTGAATTGATTCATAGTTATCATTCAATACAATGCCATTAACTTCCCAACTTTTTCATTTTTTTCTCAGAGGAAATTGCATTACTGGCGTTTAGATTCCAAATCAATCACTCTATTTCAAAACGAAACTGGCTCAAAGTATTACAAGGAAATTCCTTTGGCAGAAATATTATCAGTTGAAACAAAGACAGCAAACAATGGTCAGTAGTCCTCTTTTCCATGGTTTCATTGCCTTCCATAACTTTTTTGTGAAAGTTAACCCTTGTTTTTATTCAGTAATTGTTTTAAGGGAGCATCCAAGTATGACGAAATGCACCCAGAGATGAAAGCATCTACATTCCCATGGCAATATGTTACTATGATTGGATGATGGTCTAGAAATCCAACTTTGGTGGTGACTTTTGTGTTCGCAAACAAATTGACTGTTCAGTTTCTTCAGAGAGGAGCACATCATTTTAATTATTTCCAGCTCCTTGAAAAGCTTGTAGGCTAACAATCGAAATCTTAATACAAATTCACTGCAGAGCGAGAAATAAACTTGGAGAGCTCAATTTTTTTTGAAACTGTAGGTAATTGAGTCTACTTTTTGAAAAAATTATAGTTTTTAATGTCAAAGTAATTTGGACAGAGAGGATGCAAAGATCCAAGTTGGAGAAGATATTATTAAACCTAAAGACAATATGAGACACCTTGGCTTTCAACTCGGAAAGAACTTTAATATGAGTTGTCATATGAACACCGTTTGTGAGAAAGCAAGGAAAGTAGCAAAAGGATTTAAGTGCTTACTACCGAATGTCAAAGGACTCTCTTTCCTTAAAAAGAAACTAATAATCAATGCAATCCTTTCCATAATCTTTTATGGAATCCAAATATGGCACGAAGGAATAAAGTTAAAGAAAAACATAAAGACTATTAGACAAACATTAAGACCCCTTAAATTGTCCCTCTGCAGTGGGTACCGGACGTGTTCCGATTTTGCCTTGGATGTGATCTCAGGCATCCCCCCTCCTGAATAGATGGTCGAAGAGAGAATAAGAATCATGAATAAAACAGAAGATAAGAGTGAGATAAGACAAAATATATTAGAGAAATGGTACAACGAAATTTATTGGAAAGACGACAGAGAAAGATGGACTAGAACAATTATTGGCAATAATTCTTATGAGTGGATGTACAGGGGGCATGGTGTCCCTGATTACTATCTGACTCAGTTTCTGACAGGACATGGCTGCTTCGGTTCGTATCTACACAAATATAAGATCAGAGAAGATCCGGGATGTTTCATGTGTGGTGCAAAAATGGATGACCCTGATCATGCATTTTTCCAATGCACATACTTCAACACGGAAAGAGATGCGGCCCAAGCGGCCGTGAATTGCGAAATAAAGAAAAATACGGTCATGAAGGTCATGTTAGAAACAAAGACAGGTTGGAACATGGTATATAGATACATAAGATTAGTGTTAGAAAAAAGAAACGAAGTATCAAATGGTAGGGTGCCAACCACCCAAACCGATGTAGTGGCCACGGCCGGTTCCGGTATTGTAGAAAATGGATAAGACAAGTTTATGTAAATATGATTAATTTTTTCTAAATTATTTATTAATTAATTACCCAGCTTATAACGTTTTGAGATCTCATGCAGACCTAGAATATTTATGTTACTATTTTCTACACGGATTGTAATTATGATTAACTCTTTACTATCTGATCAATATGATCTCATAACTTTAATTTTACATACTGGGGATCTCAACTAGAACCTGAACATTTATTTATATGCCTCTATACGAATTGTATTCATGTTTATTTTCTATGAATAAAAAAAATAATAAAAAAAAAAAAAGAAGTCAAAGTAATTTAAAGGTGAGTAAACTTGAAAGAAATTGAAAATTGAGAATTATTGACCGGCATTTTCCGTATCTACGTCCTCAAGAAGACCCGGATCGAAAAATATCCTTCAGTAAAAGTTGTAGATCGTCCTTTTAGCGTTGTTTTGGTATATTACATCATAGGTTTATCTTTAAAATTGAGGGAGCAAAATCGCAAAAACGGAGCGGATCGCCGCGCGGCCGCCCATGTTTTGAATCGTAAACTGGCGATTTTAGGTGGCACATGATGGCAGTGATGGTTAATTCACCTCTGCTCGTCTACCTACGACCAAAATCAATAATTTCCATTACAAAGGCTTTATTTCTACAGCGCCATGGTTGCCAGTTTTTGCTTTATTATTTAACTGTTCACTAATTCGCCCTGGTAGCGATTCAAGTAATACTTACGACTTTTTAAGCCTCCACCCCTTGTGAAGCAACAGTGCAACTACATTTCAATCCCCTTTGGAATCAAGTAACTGCCCTAATCTCCCCCCCCCCCAATTTTCCAGAAAGTGACAGAGAAAGTGTGAAAACTGGCGACTTTTTGTTTCTATTCAAAATTATTATTTTTTCTTAAAGTGGGAGGCTCACGTAAGACTTGACTTGACTCCCCCCCTCCCTTCGTAATACCCTGTGAGCCAAACTTAGACCTTAGCCCCCCCCTTTTTGAGTAGCTTACGCAAGGTTTTTATTATAGGGTAATGTTTCAGGATTGCGCTCTTCAGCGTGTGTAAATTAACTTTTTTTTTTTTTTTTTTTTTTTAAATTCATGCTTTTTCTGTAAAGAGTTACTTGACTCACTAAGTGCGGGCCCGCCCGCAGACTTTATCGCTGGGCCCACCTCAATACCCTGCAAGGCTTGATGAGGGATTCCATTTCAAAATTTCAGTATGACCCTGTGAGCCAAATTTAGGCCTTACCCCTCCCCTCTTGAGAAACTTACGTGATACTTGAACGGTTTCCTAGTTTGGCCCAAGAAGCATAGAAAGTGCCTACCATGAAAAACATAATTTACCAAAAGTTTTAATAGTTTGTTTTCGTAGTGTTGATTCAGTGTATTGTATTCCTACTTTGATCGTAGTATAGGTTCATTTTGGAAATGTGAGGAGCTAATGGTGAGGAGGAGCTTTTTTATGTTCGTCGTATCGCTAACCAGCTGATTATACGAATGAGACGGATACGATATAAAGGCGATAATGCATTTTTCTTGTGTTATGGATGCTTAGAATCTGCCTCAAAAAAAAGTCTCCAACGGAACGGTCCCTAGAAAATAAGACAGTGCTTTTGTCCATCCGACGGACAAGTAGCACAGGCAATAACATTATTTTCCACTTTTTACCAATTTTTCGTAGTGAATTTGCAAGCACGTGAAAATTGGAACTTAAAATTTTGGACTCTTATGGTAGATAAAGGAGGGTGCAAGAATTATTTTATCAAGGAATATTTTCGTAGCTCCGAGGCGAGCCTAGCAGGATAGAAGGAAATAGTTCTTATCGCATTTTTTAAAGTAAATTCCGCATAATTTTTTTTTTTGGTGGGGGAAGACTGAAAAATTTGGCCTCCAATTTTTAGAGACCATATTTTAGTCGATTAAAATTATGATAATCGTTTTGTACCACTTCAGAAGCAATAGCAAGAGGCAAGAGAAAATCGCTGAAAATTCGAAGATATAATAATGTGTTTATTAACCTTTCTGTTGCCTCTTAGATGGTACCAAACGCGACCATAACTAGATCATTTGAAAAGCCTATTTTTCAACTTTGAAAATTCTTTGAAAATTGAAGGCCCAATTTTTGCCTAGTTACCAAATTATTTAGAATATTTGACGAAAATCACCGCAAAGCCGATAAAATCGTGTTTGCGACCTTCATTTTAGTACGAAACTGCCCAGCAAAATATTTACTACACTCTCTTAATGTCCATAGAGTACATAGAGTCGCAATGCAAGTGGGAGAGCTGGCGCCACTTTTAAGCATTTTCCAGGTCCCGAATTCCGATACTCCTGTGCGGCGCCGGGTCTCTTTTTCGATACATAATCGGTTGTTTGCTATACACGGGGACCCGGCCATATTCCACACCGCCATTTTGGATCGAATATGTATCGAAAAAGTGACCCCGCACACGGGGCTCGAAACTCGTCGAGCAGAACATGGTGCCAGCTCTCCCACTTACATTACGACTGTATGTACTCTATGTTAATGTCTTATAAACATAGGCTTTTTAGAAATAATAAAACTCTCATTTTTTCATGTTTACCAAGCCTGGTGAAAAATTAGTGGAAAGTAAAAATGAAGAGTCTTGAGCCATATCGAGCGATTCAGCTGAATTGTGTGCCCATGGAACAAGAAATCGGACATCTAGGAAACCAATAATTGCTCTTGATTTTTTATGAAAATGTTCCCCCTAAAACCGGAAGCAGATTTTCTGCATGTTTGCAAAGTCACTTGAAGTAATTTGTAAAATTGTGGAAATGGCTGTCGTAATTGTGTATCCAGCTCCTCTAGGGCATATGGAGGACAACAGATTATTTTTATCCAACATTTAATTAGCACGCTTCAGTGAACAACCTGACTCAAGTATCAACTCCAGAAATGAGGACTAAAGGCGATTTTCATTATGTTTACAAAGTTTCAATGATTCAACAGCAGTAGCGTAAATGAGGGCGAGCCCACGGCTTTAAGGGGCCCTCCTGAAATTTTAAAATTGAATCCCCTCACCGAGCCTTGCAGAGTATTGAGGTGGGCCCAGCGATAAAGTCTGCGGGCGGGCCCGCACTTAGTGAGTCAAGTAACTCTTTACAGAAAAAGCATGAATTTAAAAAAAAAAAAAAAAGTTAATTTACATACGCTGAAGAGCGCAATCCTGAAACATTACCCTATAATAAAAACCTTGCGTAAGCTACTCAAAAAGGGGGGGGGGGGGTAAGGTCTAAGTTTGGCTCACAGGGTATTACGAAGGGAGGGGGGGAGTCAAGTCAAGTCGTACGTGAGCTCCCACTTTAAGAAAAAATAATAATTTTGAATAGAAACANGGGGGGGGGGGGAGATTAGGGCATTTACTTGATTCCAAAGGGGATTGAAATGTAGTTGCACTGTTGCTTTACAAGGGGTGGAGGCTTAAAAAGTCGTAAGTATTACTTGAATCGCTACCAGGGCGAATTAGTGAAAAGTTAACCCTAGTCTGCCTGAGTGGGTTCAGATTGACCCCACGGGAGTTTCAACTCTTTGCCATTTCTCATGGTATGCACGAAATTCTTTGTCCTTCACAATTAGCTCTACAAAAATATCTAGGAACACGATTTTGAAGGGAAAAAAAAAAAAAAAAAAATGTGCATGAGAGATCAAAAAATTCACGAATACTCCTAGAAAGCCTGAGCGGGGTCAGATATCCTAATAACATATATTTTACCATTTAGCATCACAAAAGCTTACTTTGAAGGTGTATTCATTTTTCTCTTTTTAATTTTTTTCAGAAACTTATAAAACAAGCAAAATTTTTCAGATTTTTTCGTTTTCAGTATTTAGTAGCCCTATGATTTTTTTTTTTCTCATGCTGAGAACAACATGGCAACATGTGTATGATAAAATGGTTGCATACCCTGCGCCGTGTTTTTTAAAACTTAGATATGCTTTATGGTTAAGGCTTGTAAGGTTAGTGCACTGATTTTAACTAAAAACATGAAAAAAACATAGCTAACTAATTGATTTTCAGCTGGGGTCAAATTGACCCTGCTCAGGTTTTCTAGTTGGTTCAGAGGCTCAGGCAGACTAGGGTTAAAGCAAAAACTGGCAACCATGGCGCTTTAGAAAAAAGCCTTTGTAATGGAAATGATTGATTTTGGTCGAAAGTAGAAGAGCAGAGGTGAATTAACCATCACTGCCATCATGTGCCACCTAAAATCGCCAGTTTACGATTCAAAACATAGGCGACCGCGCGTCGATCCGCTCCGTTTTTGCGTTTTTGCTCCCTCAATTTTAAAGATAAACCTATGATGTAATATACCAAAACAACGCTAAAAGGACGATCTACAACTTTTACTGAAGGATATTTTTCGATCCGGGTCTTCTTGAGGACGTAGATACGGAAAATGCCGGTCAATAATTCTCAATTTTCAATTTCTTTCAATTTTACTCACCTTTAAATTACTTTGACATTTAAAACTATAATTTTTTCAAAAAGTAGACTTAATTACCTACAGTTTATTTCTCGCTCTTCAGTGAATTTTTGAATATATGTCCAATTTTCAACTTCATCGGACCACTGTGCGGAATCCCCCAAGGGGATTTATGGGGACTTTTGGCTAAAAACACCTTTTCATATGAAGAATCGATTGGGCCTAAGTCCGGCCGTATTTTAATTTTTGGCCATCAAAATGCTTCGTTTACTGGACTACATTGAAACCAAGGTATACAGGGTATGTACCATGGGTAAAATCAGAATTACTAGACAATACAAGGAAATTTGATGTTATCAGGAACATTGAGCATGGATCAGGAAATTCTGAGTGCTTCTAGCATTTTCTAAACATTTGATTCAATTCCTTAAATATGTTGATTTTTTAAATCAAACAAATGTCAATTTAATCAACGAACAAATCAGGAAATCTCGTCCTAAATATCAGGAATTTATCAGGCAAATCCGAAATCAAATTTTAGTAGACATCCTGGTAGACACAAGTTTACCATCATATGTATAATCAGAACCAAGATCACGTCGTGACTGCATACACATAGTATTCTCACTGTAGAGGAAAAATTCTTATGTAGAGCATAATTTCCTTCCTGGAGTTCAGCTGTTTGATGCAACATCTGTTTGGGCCTGTTTATGATCACCAACTTATGTCTATTAACTATTACCTCTCCCTCTCTGTTCTTGCACAACCAAGGCCTTTGGATTCAGCAGCCTAAAATTTTAGAAGGAGATATGTATTGCATGCCTGATAAATTCTCCCTTTGTAATAAAGTTTTTCTGGTAAAAAGCCTTCTTTTGCCCATCATACATCACCGTGTACCACTTATCAGATTGTTTTGCATCTGAAAGCATGGGAAAAACGTTTTTCTAGGTATCTAATGGTTACCCTAATTTTTGCGGCTGAAGTTGAATATAACCTCAGTTGTTTTCCCGCACCTCCGGGAAAACGAGTCTCAAAAGTGAGCAGGTTTTTTTCCAAGCTGACAAATGTCTTTCCATGATTTGATTTTCTAAAAAACTGGTAGGTGCTAGGAAAAAAATACACTAAAAATTAGTTTCTTTCACTATTTCAGCATTGAAACCTAGGCGGGAGTTGTTGTTCAAGACCCCGCGGACCAATGTTTTTCCCATCTTCTCCAATGTAAAACAATCGGATAAGCTTGTAGGCAAAAAAGCGCTTTCGACAGAATAAACCTCATTTTTAGGAACAGAGTGAGAATTTTTTTAAGCAAGCAGTATATCATGATTTCCTATTTTTTTCGCTGTTAAATACGAGAGTTATCTTGGTTTTTTTTTTTTTTGGATCAGGCACTGATTTTCTTGCAAATTTGATTACTCCCAGAAAAGCTTGATTCGAGGAGAGATGCTGATTCTTCCGGGCTAAACCAAACTGGTCCAGGAAAAAAAGGTCACTTTTGGAAACTACTAAAAATCTACTGAGGAAGAACGCATGCATATCTCTTTTTGGCAAACCTGTGCTGACTAATGTTATTTGCAGTGATGTAATCAAAGATAGTTTCTATTGATTCTTGTGCATCTTTTCATTTAAATTTTCTCAATGGCAGTGAAAAAAAATCAATGCCAGAAATCGCCGCGTTTTTTAGTCATGATATTGACTATGGTAAAGCACCATTAGGAACTGATCGCAACAGAATTAATTGCACCGTAATTTTTCCAGTCACAGTGGCTGATGTAATTTTTTTTTTTTTTTTTCAGTGGAAGTCTCTCATTGTTTTGAGCTTCACACTGCCAGTGTTGACTACATGGTTGGAGACAATACCTATGACGATAGCTCTTTCTGTGCTGAAAATGGTGTTGGCTGCAATCTAGCCAAAAGCTGGGAAGCAGCCATTCGCCAAGCCCTCACACCATTACCTACTTCAACGTCAACCAGCAGTAAGTAATCCGACTAAAGTCAGGATGCTTGCCCACAATGAATTGTCCTAGCTTGTATGATTAAATACTTTACAGGAGGTGAAAACCAATAGATAAATCAACAAAAAATTATTTCCTTGTTTTAAAAAGCAATTATTTCATCACAGAATGTTAAGCATTATTTATTTTTCTGAGTGGTGTCTACTGAAGTTGATATTTATTATAGCACCACTTCAAAGTAACCAGGTCCATGCATAACTCTACTATACCTTCAATGGGCCTGTTGCAAACTTTTACTAGAGCTAAAATAAGAGTTGTTTGTCATAGATACTGTCTGAAAAATCACGATAAGCACATCGGCAAACTCTGAAACGCCCTCCTAACTTTACAATCTGTCTAAGAAATTTGCGTTTTTTTAAGCTTCCCGCTTCAAAAAGGATACTACAGCACAGGTGAACATTTCGTTAGAGGAGCCATTCCATTCAATCCCTGTTCAACATGGTTGACGCTTCCTCGAGTAAGTTGAGGAGAGCACGAGGTCAATCAAGACAGATATCTATCAAAGCGAGTAAGATGTGAATGTAAACATGCCGATTATTATCAGGTGGTTAGAATTATCGTCCCGTCACATGTTTTTTGGCAGATCAGCTATGTTGAATATTACGTGGTATCCTTGTGAGCAGAGGTTGGATGGAATGACTCCTCTAACTTCACCTGTGCCGTGGTGTCGTTTTTGAAGCGAGAAGCTCGAAGAAAGGCTAATTTCTTATGCAAATTGTGAAGTAAGAAGTGCATCTCAGACTTTGCCAATGCGCTCATCGTGATTTTTGAGACACTTTCTATGCGTAAAAACTCATATCTGTGCTGTAGCAAAAGTTTGCAGCAGGCCCATTTTGTTAAATTTGTTGTTATTAATGTGTTGTCAGAATGAGAATGGTATGTTTATGACTATTAGCCCCAAGACTTGCTGAGACTTATGGTCCTTAACAAGGACATTTTTGAGCAGCTGCTGTTTTTACTGTGTCCCTGTCTAGACTCTTTATCGACGGTGAAACTACCAAACCACGTATCTCGTTTGCGGCGTTTAAAAATCTACGCTCACATTTTCTTTTTTTGAAGTAGACCAAATCAATATCATTCCTTGAAATTTTCACAGAATTTTTTCCGCACGAAGAGGAAAAATCACAGAAATTTTCAAGACTGGACGTTAAGTAGTTTTTCATTTAAAAAATAAAGTATGACAGGAAGTCTGCGACGTCGCAAACCGAGATACGTGGTTTGGTAGTTTCACCGTCGTTATGCAGAGTATTGCCTATCCTTTTTTTGATTGTGAATTTTTGTATTTTTCCAGCAAGCGAAGAGAGTTCTGATGCCCTCGAACTTGTCACTGACATCAGTCAACTTTATCAGTTGTTTCCTGAGGATGTTTTAGGAGCAGGCCAATTTGGAACTGTTTACGCAGGTTAGTTTTGCAGATTCTTACCTGAATTAAGTTTTTACAAGCAGGTTAAGACAGAGTGAGAATGAAGATCTCAACTCGGAAAGTTTCTGGACAAAAAATTTTCAAGTATCGATGTAATTTCAAGTGTTGAGTCATAACTATACCACATCAAAATTACCACTAGCCTGACACTGTCCCCTCGGTTAACATACTCTAGTAGATGCACGATTCTCTTCAGAACGAACTTTCATAATTAAACCTTTACATCCAAACTAAAAATGCAAGCTTAGTGAACACCCTGGGGGCACAAAGTTTACTCAATAAAACGCTCTGAAGTGCCCTTCTTTTTTGAATAAAGGTTGATTTTGGGCATTTTTAACTTACCTAATCTGTGTGTTTTCCATGAAATTTGTATGAGGATGCTTGTTTTGTGGTATTTTGATTCTTACCCGCAATGACATTATTGTCAGATAGTGCTAATATTTCTGCGCTTTTTCCCATTTAAACCCATTTTAAATATCCACATTTTATCCCAAAATCTGGCAACTTTGGTCCATCATTGCTGCCAGTATTAATTTTACTACATTTTGCAATTAGGAACAACGGTTTCTGGTTCATTTTAGAAACAACATATGAGGACTTACATGTAACAATAGCGAGTTTTCACATTTTGAGAAAATCGCGTTTGAAGTTTTTGAAGCTTTGAACTTTGCCGCCCTTAGAACCGAGAAGATTCCTGTAAAGATTTTCATGAAAAGCAACTCTTCCTGTAAAAAACACACGTTTTATGAGCTATGTAAGTGAAAAATTGAAGGAGTAACAGCGTTTTGAAAAAAATGTGACATCCTCTATTTTTACTGAAAACACTTTTTTATGCATGAATCCAAGTCTTCAGGAAGGGTAAGGCTGATAAAACGATTGAAATGAACCAAAAGTATGGCAATGCTGAGTCATTTAATCAAATTGAACAAAAAACTACACCTTCTGTAACTTCTACGACAAAAATAAGGAACAATTTATAAAATTAGTTAAAAACTCTTCAACTCTGGCAAAACGGTCCCAAACGGGGGAGGACACTGAGAATAGTGGATTCTCATATCCGCTGTTTTTACAAATACCATGGTTTTCAGTTCATATCTCGCCGAAAAATTACGCTGGAAGTCTGAAAATTTGCACAGGAATTCTTGAGGACTCCAGAATTGGAAAACAATGTTTGCCCTAAAAATGGCGGATGTCAGCGACTGATATTGTTACATGTAAGTCCTCATATGTGCTATTAGTTTCCCTATGCAGATTAGTAGGCCTGAGCCAGAAATCGTAGTTCCTTATTGCAAAATGTAGTATATTTGGACAATATTTTGCAATAAGGAATTGCTATTCCTAGTTAATCCCTATAAGAATCTATCTGCATTGGGAAACACACACTCGTGGCACATTTATTGTTTCTAAAATGAGCGAGAAGTTTCCTATTGCAGAAAGTAGTCCAATTTTCTTCATATCAGTCACAAGATACACAGTTTACCATTACTACTCTACTCAGATATTGTCATGTCAATCTAGGTGTGCATCGCAAATCAGGAAGAGCAGTAGCCATCAAGCTAATAGATAAACTTAGGTTTCCAACTAAACAAGAAGCACAGTTGAAAAATGAAGTTGCCATTCTTCAAAACTTATCACATCCTGGAGTAGTGAATCTTGATCGAATGTTTGAAACTAATGAACAAATCTTCGTTATCATGGAGAAACTTCGCGGAGACATGTTAGAAATGATTCTCTCAAGTGAAAAGGGTCGCTTAAGTGAGCGCATAACTAAGTTTCTGGTCACTCAGGTAAGTTATCTTTCTATGAATTTTCAAACTGAATCAAAATATCCTGCTTTTAGTGAAAGCTGGGCCACTCACATGATCGCTTCCTCAAGTTTTTGCAACTTTCTGAAAGACCAGGCTAAAAACTGGAATCGTTTCTGTTTGTTGAGATTAGTTTTAATCAACGCCAAATCTCTCATACCAACCGTAGTTCTCTTTTGTCTTAGTTTTTAACAAAATGGCATAGGAGATCTGATTTATTTACTGTGTTTGAATTATTTCTGGTGCAGTAATTAGCACTGCCAGTTGAAAAAAATCGGGCCAACCTTTTTCCCAGGTCATAGTGTAATGAAGAGCTCTGATTGGTGTGCCAGGGTTTGCAGTGGCCCTGAAAACATGGAAAGTCAGAGCAGCTCTGAAGAATGGGTACAGCAGGGAATTTAAAGGAGGAGTCAGGGAATGGAGTTCTTGCATACGTTAAGGAGTTGCGTTTCAAGTATTTCTTCTTTTGTGACATTTTGCATTTAACATGATGATGCCTGTGCTTTTCTCTGGAACAAACTCCCAAACTCGAAAAAAGCTCTCAAAGTTGAGGCTGTAATGAAGGAGATCGCCCCTGGCATGGTGAGAGTCCAGCTGTATGTACACCCAATCCAAGTCTCCATACTCAGATATGGATCAAATGTGTCAGCAAGGTGTCGTGGTTCCAACCTTAGATTCTCCCAATAAAGTGACAACACTGCTAATGTATTTATTTCCTATCTTCGGATGGAGAGTCGGCCGGTTATGGAGGAGGACTTTCAGCATTGCGTGACGCTTGTAAGAGCTTTATTTCGAGAGTTGCATAATAACTCAGGAATGTTATGGCTCGAGTGTCATTTAAGAAATCTTCCTAGTACTGTTGTCTTTGCAAAGTTGGGTTATGCATAATTTGAGAAAAAAACATTATAAAATGCACCACATTTTACCTCAATATCTTTGAAACCAAAAAAACATCCAGATTGGATTCTCTTAAAAAATCATCCAAAATGAATACTCGTAAGAACCCTGAAAAACAAGGCCTGAAGTTTTATTTTCTGGCTAAGTTTCCGTGTTTTGTGCATTGTTCCATTTTTGAATTGAAGAAATTTATTCTATTCAAAAAGATCTCAATTTTTGATTTGTGCCCAAACCAGTTATTTATATTGGCCGTCATTTCTGCATTCAGCTAGTGGTTGTAAAATTGGGGAATTTCAGGAGTTGTGAGTAAAAAAGACAAAACCCAAGAACTTGACGAACATCAGGAAAATCGAACCACTGCAGACAGCTGTGTATTGATTCACCTTTCCCTTCCACAATTGCTTACTCAGTGAGTGGCCTCATCTGGTCTTGCTTATGCTTGAGGTGTGTGGTAGGGGAAGGTCTGTCTGTAGCGCTCGGATCATCAAAGGTTTTGTCTGGTTTTTCCAATTTTTCAACTTTGATTATTCCTATCTCCCAAGCCGTGTGTTCCGGCAGAATTCACAGCCTCTCATTAGATGCAGAGTAAAATAGGCAGTTGTCATAACTGGGATCGATTCAGATCAAATATTGACATCTTAATAATTTCTTTGTTTAAAATGAAAACCGTCATTTTTTAAACTGAAAAAATGTGTAAAACGCACTGTGAAACTAAAAGTTTGGGATTTTATCTTCAAAAATCCTCCAATAAATTATTTTGAACCATGAAGAGCAGATCATAAGTATGTTTTTTCATTAAGGAGATATTGACGTACCAACGTACTTGAGGTACTTTGACAAGCCTCCCCCCCCCCCTCCAAGTCCCTCTACAATTTTTGGGAGTCTGAAAAATTGGGATAACATTGGCTTAAGTATAAGCAAGAGACAAAATTTGAAGGAAGTCCAAAAGTGGGGCAAAAAATGTTGTTTTCCTGTCAACCTCTTTACATTTTTGCATATCGACTTCTTATTTCTTAAGAAAGAACCCATGCGTATTAAAATTGCAGATTAATATATCGAACCAGCGTGATTTAAATGGCATTTGTAACTTATGTACTTAAAGACTCCATTGAGAATCCTAAGGCTTAGGCCATTCTGTAAAGAAGTCACTTGTTTCATCGAAATTTCCTGTAGGTCCTCAGTCCCATGCGAGTTTAAATCTGATGATGTATTTAATATTCTTTCTCAATCCCTTTACAATTTCTTCACAATTGAATTTACACCTATTGCTTTTAATTTCATTGACATCATATTAATCTCTCTCTTGCTTTTCTGCAGATTTTGGTTGCTCTAAAGCATTTGCACAGTAAAAACATTGTTCACTGCGATTTGAAACCAGAAAACGTACTTTTGAGCTCAGATTCAGACTTTCCTCAGGTGAAACTGTGTGATTTTGGATTCGCCAGAATAATTGGTGAAAAATCATTTCGACGATCTGTTGTTGGGACACCTGCCTATTTAGGTAAACATTTTGGTTTAAAATTATAAGAATTTTAGGAGATCCTTGATTTTTTTCATTGAAGGAAAACAGGGAGTGTCAAGAAAATTTTAGCACCACTGAAACCTGAATATTCCTGAAAAACATACATCAACATCTGTAACTTATAAAAAAATTACAGGATTTTGGTGTGACTTTTGTGTCTGATTAGTGAAGCAAAGAATAAATCAATAATGAACAATTTATGTATTTGAAATAATGGTGAACACAGTGGGTTTTAACTAAATCTAATTAAGAAAATGAAAGTCCCCATGTCTGAAAGCGGAAAAGTACAGCGAAACACCTCAGGAAAACATCCCCGCTGAAAAGAAAATCATTCGTTGGGCCGTTTTTTTTTTTGCCCCCCCCAAAGCCAAAATGGCGGCCGATATGCGCCGCCGCGGGGTGCAAATGTCACAACACCCTCAAAATGTCAAGTGACACATCGATTCCTATGTAATCTTGGTCTTAAAATCCGAATATGAGGTCAGAAATCCCTTACGAATAAAAGGAATCGCGAAAATTCAAGATGGCGGCCAAAAATAGGCCCCGGAGTAAAAATTCTCAATTCCAGCTTTTGGTGACGAGTGAGATGTCATTTTCTATGTTTTTTGGGTCATAGGATCCAAATTTGCGGTCAAAAATTCCCTTCTGGCCGACAGGGATCCTTCAAATCCAAAATGGCTTCCATTTTGGGGCTGACATATTATTTCCGAAAGACGCGTATAGTCGAGTGAGGTGTCTTTTTACATGTTTTTTGGACCACATGATCAGAGACTGGGATCCAAACTGTGTCCCTGTGCGCCGGAAGGTAAGATTTGTCCCTTAGCACCTTGATTGTAACGTTTTTATCAACTACTTAAATAAAAACTCAGAATTTCACTGTTAGGACGGCGCCAACCACACCAAGGAATGCGCTATTCATACAAATAATGTTTGACCTTTTTGCCTAGCAGGAGCTATAGTCCCCTTCTTCACAAAAAAACGAGCGCAAGAGAAATAGGAACAAAACAAAAATAATCTTCTTTGAACAGTGAAATTCTGAGTTTTTATTTAAGTAGTTGATAAAAACGTTACAATCAAGGTGCTAAGGGACAAATCTTACCTTCCGGCGCACAGGGACACAGTTTGGATCCCAGTCTCTGATCATGTGGTCCAAAAAACATGTAAAAAGACACCTCACTCGACTATACGCGTCTTTCGGAAATAATATGTCAGCCCCAAAATGGAAGCCATTTTGGATTTGAAGGATCCCTGTCGGCCAGAAGGGAATTTTTGACCGCAAATTTGGATCCTATGACCCAAAAAACATAGAAAATGACATCTCACTCGTCACCAAAAGCTGGAATTGAGAATTTTTACTCCGGGGCCTATTTTTGGCCGCCATCTTGAATTTTCGCGATTCCTTTTATTCGTAAGGGATTTCTGACCTCATATTCGGATTTTAAGACCAAGATTACATAGGAATCGATGTGTCACTTGACATTTTGAGGGTGTTGTGACATTTGCACCCCGCGGCGGCGCATATCGGCCGCCATTTTGGCTTTGGGGGGGCAAAAAAAAAAACGGCCCAACGAATGATTTTCTTTTCAGCGGGGATGTTTTCCTGAGGTGTTTCGCTGTACTTTTCCGCTTTCAGACATGAGGACTTTCATTTTCTTAATTAGATTTAGATAAAACCCACTGTGTGAAGCTAGTTTAAGCAGTGGGCCCGAGGGTGATAGTTGATCATCTTCTTCTATTTCACATCTCAAGTGGTCCCTAAAATCATATCCAAACCAAATCGACGGTCATTCTTCATCCCAGTATTAAATATGAAGTGGAACATTCCAAAATACGCGCATTTCGGTCGATTTTGACCTTCTAACCCAAGTTTGATCCTATGTTTTGATGCGGAAAATGCGAGTTTACGCTAAGCCGAGATGTCTCTAAAATACTTGCTGGCAACTGAAGAATATCGAGAAGTCCTGGGACTCTAAGAGGGGCTAATTTTTACCTTCATGGATATCCCTCCTCAAATTCCTCAGAGCAATGTAAGGTAGTTTTACAAATTCAACTTATTTTCCTAAAAAATTGTACTTTCTGGGAAAAATTCAATTCATGGGAAAACTGGGACATGATTAAGAAAAACAGAGGTCATTTTTAGAGCTAGCTGTCAGTACAACACAGATATGTTCTCACTCTCTCTGATGATAAACTTTCTCTAATCAAACCACTAAAACCTCTCTTTTTTCCACAAACAAAAATGAGTGGAGGGAGAAAATAAGAATGGGACAATAGGATACAGAGGGACAGTAAATATACTGAAATTGAAAACATTCCTGAAAACTCTGAACACAGACATTTTATCGCTACAAATTTAGAGGGTAGGTAATGCGTAATAAGTGGGTAAACAAATTCTTATCACGAATACCAAATTACCTAGAGTATTGTGAGCACAAAAATGTTTGATTGTGTAGTCAGGCAGGTGAAGTAAAGAACCCAAAGATTTTCTCTTTGCGAGCAACTAAATTCAAAGACCTGTAGGTAAATCCCCCCCCATCCCCCTCCCCTATCCGCAAAGATACCAACAGAAAAAGAAGCAAGCAATCTCATCAGCTAAACGTTTAAGTTTGGAGCGCAATGCTAAAGTAATGCCTCCTCCGACAGTTCAAAACAAACTTTATCCTGACCCTCCTTGGTACCACCTTAAAAATATGGCATAGAGATACAGCGACAATACTTAATTACTATCCACACACTAAGCTCTGATCTATTTTTATTTACAATCACCTACTCAGCTGCATATAAAGTCAAAGTGAAAAAGAATAGAGACATTAACAACAAGTAAGTATTGTATGAAGCATCATTTAAATTCCATCCGTTCAGTGAATATACATTGCTCCATCCCTAATATTTGCTCCGAAACTCAAAATCTATAGTAGGGAGTTCTGCGGTGATTGTTTTTGCTTAGCATGGAAGCTAGGAAAGATAACAAATGGAAATTGAAACTTACGATCCAAATTTCTTGAATGAACCTTCATAACTAGCATGGATTCATCAACATACAGATTTTCTGAAACTATACCATGGTTCGAGTGCATGTAGAGATAATTTGCTTGCCAATTACATCATACCATAAGAGTGCCCCGAAGGGTTCCTAGAATTCAACCTCAGAGTAGACAGGTAGATGTTGTATATTCACTGTGCGCAGTGAATATCGCAGTGAATATGCAATATTCACAAGTGAATATGAATATTCATGTGAATATGTCAATAATAGGCATAGTGTAGGAAATCTTGCTCCTGATATTGATACACACTAAAAGTTTCATATATACCCTCTATTCTCACATACTGACTTTCGGGGGCTAGGTCAATTCGGCATAGATTTGTTGATGAAACTACTGATGCTGCCTTAAAATCCTTGATTTGGGTCTCGCTCAAAACCACATTCCCAGGATTTTTTGACATCATACAGATTTCCGTAGGGATAGAGTCACTTAAATTAACTTACTGTTATACCTATCGTTTGCTAACACAAATTAGATGCAAGAGCACAGTAATGAAGAAAGGCACCAAATGCTCGGTTATTAAAGAGTGATGAAAGGGAAGTCTCATTATTGTAAGTAAGCTCGCAATTCTAAATTAAAACTTCAATTCATTTATTTTTGTGAGTATGCTTACTTCTCGGTAACTTAAAAGCGAGAAGACCAACATACAGGGTGTCTCAGACCAGCCGAACCAGGTTTTTTTTCTTGGTTGGTTTAGGTCGTACGAAGTCGGGGACCGCGGGGATGAATAGAGAATCGACCCCAAGGAATCTGAATTTAATGGTCCCGAACGCCCCCCCATCCCCCTTGGGGAATAAATGGGGGGGTTACAATCCCAGAAGTCGGGGCTCCCGATAGAATTGCGATTCGATTGCATCAAATTTGAAAAGTACGGACTATTTCACGTGAAATTGACTCCTAAAAATCCAAAATCGGACCGCATTACGTCTAATATTGAACCCTTAAAGAGGGGGACAGCGGCCCCCTCCATAATTTCCCCTTGATCAAAAATTGACGTAGATTTTCTGGAAAAAGACGGTTTCCCAGGATGACTGCAAGGAATCCAATTTTTATGCTCGCAAAGCCCCCCTAGCCTCCCTTGGGGGGGTTAAGAATTGGTAAGAATTCTTATTTTTTCTACGTGCGTTCATTTGCTTGATGTGTCTATTTGAAATATCCCACGTTGGTTTTCATGTGTCAGTTATAGATTCAATGTACACAGAATCATTACGGAGAAAGGCAGGGGAGGGGACTCTGATCTTACATATAAAACCGGTTTTTTTTGTCACACAAACTGTCAAAATTGTCATTTTAGCAAAGGTTACCTGATACCCGCACGCATTCAAGATTCTTGGAACAACTCACCAGTTTTTGGCTCCGAAGACTCCAAAAATATGCTAACTAAGTCCATCCGGCTTCCAGTAAAAAAACTTAGTTGCTGGGTGCAAAATCGCTTTTTCAGTATAGTGCCGATTTTTATTTTTAATGCTGGTGATCGCATGAGGTATGCAGGTCGTACAAGACCATTCAATTTAGGGCCATGGTAAGAAAATAGTTTTCCTGCAGGACTATAGTTCATATCGACACAGCAATTTTATTCATGTAAAGTTACATATCACAAGCAATCCTAATTCTTCAGTTTTTCTGTAATTTAATCATTTTGTTAACTGCTTTTTCATTCAACTGAGTAACAAGAACTCTGATAAGCTAGTGTCGGAGACGGACAAGTAAATGGTCCTATACATCTTGCATACCTCAAACGATCACCAGCATTAAAAATAAAAAATCGGCACCTTACTGATTTAGCGATTTTGCACCCAGAAACCAAGTGTTTTCACTGGAAGCCCGTTCGTCTCAGTTACTCATGCTACTCGAGTCTTCGGAACCTAAAACTAGTGAGTTGTTCCAAGAATCTTAATTGCGTGTGGGTTACCTTTTCCTGAATTGACTATA